CACCTGCTCCACCAATCAGAGCGGGGGTTAGTTACTGCAGCTTTTACACAAGTCAGAATTTAGTCCTAACACCCTGACCTGACTCAGCATTATGAGTCCTGAACCCTGACATGAGTCAGCATTATGAGTCCTGACATGAGTCCGCATTATGAGTTCTGAACCCTGAGTCAGCATTATGAGTCCTGAACCCTGACATGAGTCAGCATTATGAGTCCTGAACCCTGAGTCAGCATTATGAGTCCTGAACCCTAATATGAGTCAGCATTATGAGTCCTGAACCCTGAGTCAGCATTATGAGTCCTGAACCCTGACATGAGTCAGCATTATGAGTCCTGAACCCTGAGTCAGCATTATGAGTCCTGAACCCTGAGTCAGCATTATGAGTCCTGAACCCTGAGTCAGCATTATGAGTCCTGAACCCTGAGTCAGCATTATGAGTCCTGAACCCAGACATGAGTCAGCATTATGAGTCCTGAACCCAGACATGAGTCAGCATTATGAGTCCTGAACCCTGAGTCAGCATTATGAGTCCTGAACCCTGACCTGAGTCAGCATTATGAGTCCTGAACCCTGACCTGAGTCAGCATTATGAGTCCTGAACCCTGACCTGAGTCAGCATTATGAGTCCTGAACCCTGACATGAGTCAGCATTATGAGTCCTGAACCCTGAGTCAGCATTATGAGTCCTGAACCCTGAGTCAGCATTATGAGTCCTGAACCCTGAGTCAGCATTATGAGTCCTGAACCCTGACATGAGTCAGCATTATGAGTCCTGAACCCTGAGTCAGCATTATGAGTCCTGAACCCTGACTGAGTCAGCATTATGAGTCCTGAACCCTGACATGAGTCAGCATTATGAGTCCTGAACCCTGAGTCAGCATTATGAGTCCTGAATCCTGAGTCAGCATTATGAGTCCTGAACCCTGAGTCAGCATTATGAGTCCTGAACCCTGTCATGAGTCAGCGTTATGAGGGTTGCTGTTCTCTCACTGAGTCTCGGAGGATGCTGAGGAAGGTTCTTCTGAAGAGGATGGAGAACTGAGTCATGCAGCTGGCTGAGAAACTGTGACAACCTTCAGACGAAGAACTCTCCTGAGACAACAAGAGATAAAAATAACAAACAAAGACGTTAAATACAAACGACCTCTCGCTCATGAGAGGCCGACACACAACCTGTTTTTAAAGTGGTTTTGGGCTTCAGTAACATCTCTGCTTTCTGATTGGTTGAAAAAAACATCTAACTCCACATCAGAGTTTATTTGTCTTAGTTAGCATTACATAACGCCTCTTTAGCATATTCAACAAAACTTATAACATAAAAATAATCGTGTCAATGCCAGTAATGAAGTGCGGGTTCTTGTTCATATCCGTTACATAAACAATTTTTATTTTGAATATTTTATTTTTTTCTTGCAAATGTCTTGGAAATTCCAATTATATTATATTTCTCAGATTAATGTTTTCACAAACTCGTTTTGTTCACCTCCTCTGTGCGCTGCCACGGGAGCGGATGGAGGTTAGTGTGTCCGTTCAGCTCCGTCTGATCGTCCTTCTCCCACTTCCTGTCCAGCACGGCCGTCACCAGGCGCTCCACCTGATCCCCGTGCTCTCCGGACGCCACTTCCATCACTGAACACCAGAGATGGCAAAAGTACACACATCCTTTACACTTGCCTCTTTTGCTGAAACACTGTACATTTCTAATAAAGGAATTGATGATTCTGATTGGAGTATAATTCAAGATGTAGACTCACCAAAGTCAGCAGGGTTGTGGTAGGTGGGGCAGTTCAGTCCGAGCTCCCTCAGGTAGGGAACCAGCCTGGAGACCTTCCCCCTGTAGATACACTGACCCTGACTCAGCACGTACAGCTGCAACACACACATTACACACCATCAATCATACAGGATATATAAAACGGCATCATACATCACTTCCTGTTTCCTCTTCAAAGGTTTCCTGAATGTGTTCTTGGTTGTTATGCTGAAATAAAGTTTGTGGTTAACACAAGCTGAGGAGATCTTTGTTCTACGACATAAAATACGTCAGTAAATACCCCACTGGTAAATACAAAAATGGAGGTTGCTAACAAGTGTCTAAATGAGACGACTAAATGTCATCCGACCAACATTAGCCACCTTTAGCTTAGCGGTGGTGACGTGAAGTCATGTGACAAGGTGATGTTTCATTTAAATGGCAACAAGCATCGTTTAATTTCACCGGTGCTGGGACATCACTACTGTGTATAAAAGAAAGCAGTTAGGTCAACAAAGACTTTATTTAGTGTGTGTGTGTGTGTGTGTGTGTGTGTGTGTGTGTGTGTGTGTGTGTGTGTGTGTGTGTGTGTGTGTGTGTGTGTGTGTGTACCTTGTC